CCATCTACGCTAAACTGCGTGGAAAGAGGAATCTCCCACTGGGCCAAGCTTCAGTATCTTGCTAGTCGGCCCCGCTGGCTCTCAAAACACCTGAACAATGCCTGCATTCAATCAGATTGTTCAGGTATTTTGGAAGCCAGCGGGGCAGATTAACAAGATACTGAAGCTTGGCCCAGCGGGAGATTCCTCCATCCACACAGCTTAGCGTAGGTGGAGGAATCTGTTCCATCTTTTCCATCTGACCACAGAAAATCTGCAGATAATTGTAAGGTGTATGGGCACCTTAAGACTCCAGGTCTGTAAAGCAGAAATGCTAACCACTTCGCTGCCAAAATGCATGTTATAAACGAAACGGAAATTAAAAAAAATGTCAGGCCGAAACCAAAAATGTTTTTATTCTAACTTTTTCAAATGTTTTCAAATATTTTATTTTTATTTATTTGTTATAAACTTTTTGTTTTATATTTGATTGTATTTATGTATTCATTTTTATGAAAAAAAAATTTTTCACTTTACTTTTAGGGCCTGTTCACGCGACGTCCGTTTTGTGTGCTGACCGGCTCCGTACGCTGCTGCACTCAAAATGCATCCCAATGTATCCCTATGTGTTTTATGGGCTCCAGTTCTCACGTGCGCAGTCCGTTCAGGTTACGACAGAAAAAATACTGCATGTCACATTTTGTCAGGTCCGGAAACGGAACGGATACGCAAAACGCGTCAAAAACGCATCAAAAACGCACTGCGCTGCAGCTAACATACTAACAGCCCTACTCCAGCAAAAAACGCACCCAAAACGCAGCCAAAAACGCAATGCATCAGTAGCTCCACGTCTGCTGATCAGGACCTGATCTCATGTGAACAGGCCCTTAGGGTCTTCGGGGAAATATCAGGGGTCTAAACAGACCTCTGATATTTCCCTTTTAAAATAGAAAAAGAGATTGAGTATACAAAGTCCTCAATCTCTTTTTCTGCAGCCTCTGTTTTAAATGAAAAGGAATCCTCTATACTGAGTGTTCCTGTTTATTGATAACTTGGAGACAGAGTAAGTTTACTATATCCACAATCATGAATGGACAGGAAGTGATATAGATCACTTCCGATTCATTCATAATTGAGGACAAAGTACCATGTCCTCAATTATTTACAAACACTCAGCGATCACTGATCACTGAGTGTTTGTACCCGCTCTGCATCCTGACAGCTGTCACAGGAGGCTGGGCGGGGCGGTGCAGGAGGAGAGCTTTGCCTCCTGTGACAGCAATGACAGATGTGTCCGTCCACACCGCCGCTCTCCATCCTGATAAGCTGTCACAGGAGGCTGGGCGCTGCAGTGCGGGAGGAGAGATCAGCCTCCTGTGACAGCAATTCCTGTCTCCGCCCACACCGCCGGTCTCCTGATCTGTGACAGGAGGCTGAGCGGTGCCGAGAGACGCCGGCCGCTCACAGCGCTCTCCTCCCCCACACCGCTCGGCCTCCGGTGACAGCTTCTCTCCTCCTCGCTGGAACACAGAGCAGCGCCTCAGGGGATGAGCTCATCACTATTCTGCTTCTTCTTTCACTGTCCAGTTATAGACTGGGGCAGGTCCTGGAGGATCTGGGCTCAGAAGAAATAAGTTAAATGATGCTGGCCATCAGACTCAGGATCTATTAACACCATCTGCATTGGAGCTGTGCTGTTTCCAGCGCAGCCCCAAGACAAGGCAATTAGTAGATTTTGCCTAGTAAACACCTTGTAGTTCCGCCAGTACCTTACATGCTTTTCATTAATAGGCAACTGATCCAGGTTTTTGTCTGCTCCAGTTTTGATAAATCCCCCCTTGTGTTTCCAAAAAGCTCTGTTGGATAATGTACAATAACTTGAGTTAACTACACAGAAAATAGGTTTGTGTTTATTCTCGATTTGAATACTCACACATTAAAATTCAAGTGTTTTTACCAGAATAACAAAAGGAAATAGGCAGAAACCTCATTAGTGTGCATGTGGCAGATTGGTTGTCATTACAAACAATTGCAGCTTCATTAACTTTCATATAAAAATATTTTTTATTTACAAAACAAGAGAAGATACTGGATCAGAAATACACCATGTATAATACAATATTGAAATATAATAACATACAGAACAGGAATATTTAGATAATTTAACAATATATTTATAATTTAATTAGCAACAATGTACAGGGAGTACATGAGGGATCCTTAGATTTCCCTTGTATGCACCAGCTGATTGGATTTAGAGGAAACCTGTGCCGAGAGAAACCAAAGGCTGCCAGTGCTAACCTCCCTCTGAAAATGCAGATAGTGTCCTGCCTGGGAATCGAACCAAGGACCCCCGTATTGTAAGGCAGACGTTCTAACCGCCATAGACCTAGAAAACAACCACGGAGTCAATACTCCCAATCTGCATGTTTATTCCAATAAGTACTCTATGACAGCCAAACAACAACTAGCATTTTCAGAAGATGTCAGCAATTGTGTTGTTTCCCTTAGTTTTCTTTAAAGTGAAATTAAGCAGGACCACACTTAACCCACATGGAATAGACTATTGCATTGTCCATAATCACACATTTCTTCTGCAAAGAAGCATTTGCCCCTTTTCCTAAAAATATATACTCAACTTTTTTTCACTCCATCAACACTCCATTCACTGTACTTCCCAGTATGGAGTCGCATTAGACCTCTTCATGTCCCAGCACTGCGCCAATCAACGCAACTAAAGCCTCTGATTTTAACCCGTACTGTTAGACAGGGCAATTGGTTTTGTTGCAGGCTAGCCAGTAAGTATGTAGGGAAACTTTTGTGTTTTGTATTGTTGTAAGCCCTTCCATGTGCGCCTTGCTACAAAGGCTAGTTATAAATTGTACAGTTGCCATGCATTTTTGTGCAAAACCAGTTGGCCTGAGTTTGCCCAAGCCTGTTTAAAACTGGACAGATACCCCTCCACTCTGCCCAATCAGTTGTGGCCAGTAGGCGGGGCATCCTTACACATCACAAAGGGGTGGGCAATGTGGACGAATTGTGGTAATCGACCACACATATTTCCGTCTGCGCATGTGCAGAGTAAATCGTATGAATTTTGACATACGGAAACACCACCAACCTTGCGAAAATCGTACGTTCCACCGAAGTTTTCTAACCTGCTGGTTAGTCAAAAGTCGATCGATTGTACAGTATTTTCGGTTGTACACTGCCCATCAACCTTAAGGTGCCCATACACTTTACAACCCTCGCAAGACTTTTGTCTTGCGAGGGTTGTAAAGTACTTAAAAAAATGTACGATCTGCCCATCTTGGACAGGCAGATCGTACCTGCAATTATCGCAAGCCCGCCACCCTGAGGGGCGGGCTTCCGATGACTGCAATGCTGAACTGGCAGTGTGCGCACACCGGCCCGTTCGGCAGTGATCTCTCGCTTATGTTAAAAACCAGCCGAAAATCGTACGATTCTCGGCTGGTTTTCCAACATGCCCGATATACAAAAGACGTGCGACCGTACATTAGAAACGGTTGCACGCCTTCCATACACTGCACGATTCTCGTACAATTGCGGGATTTCCTGCGATTCTCGTATGAGAACTGTGTAGTGTATGGGCACCTTTACGCATATCGGACAAAAACGTGTTCGCATACGAAAAATCGGCTGATATTCGTAATGTGTATGGGCACCTTAACAGATAAAACCTGAGCAAAACTTGTGTCTTGTCAGATTTAATTTTCAGTTTTTACCAGCATGTAGTGATTAGTGCTTGATCACATTGCCCGTGAACTTGCATTGTGACTGTCACAACATATGCAGTACTTCCCTGCAATACACGCACATTTCCCCTGATTTTAACCTCTTAAAATGTTGCAATCACAGTAAAATAATTTGCCAGAAACATCCTGTTTGTTAAATAAATAATTTAAGTAAAATAATTTGCCAGTTCACTAACTGGCTACACAACACTACCGCTGCTGCTGCCCAGAACTCTCAAGCACTGTTGCCTGAGTTCTCTGCTGGACTACTCCACCTCTCATCCACCTTAATCTGCATAGGGAAAGTGCTTTTCTGAGATTTGTTCACACCAAATGCAGGCCAGATCTGCATGAGTTTCTGCACACACAGTGCGTTTGTGCTGCGTTAGATGCATTCCAGGCCGTTTTTGTAAAAAAATCAAAATGATTTTTTTTTTAAGCCTGAAATGGGCTTTCAGTGCGTTCCAGGGTGTTTGCATGCGTTGTTGATGCATTTGCATGCGTTCCAGAGCAGGAAAAATTCAGTTTTTGTTACATGCTCTGGAACTGAACGCTGCGGCGTGAACTAGAGCCCAAAATACCATTGGAATACATTGGACGCAGTTTTGATACGTTCTGCAACTGCTCTGCTCCTGGAACGCACTTGGTGTGAACTGGCCATTAGGGATGAAATTCTGGGGTGCCTAGATAAATAGGTAGTAATGCACTGCACATTTGTAAAACTGGACTATTAAATAAATAGTGGAACTCCAATCAGGACTTTTTTTTAGTTTTAGATAAAGTGGGTAAGGGTCCGAACCTCAGTTAAGCTTTTATTGCTATATGTGTCCTTGTTAGGGAGACTTTCCTTTTATAAATGTTTTGTAACTGGGGAAAGAAGGGAGGAGAATCTCTCCAACTGGCACACAGACATAGTGGGGAAGGGTTAGAGCCACTGTCAGGTTTTATGGCCTCGGTGTCCCTCATACTGGAGATTTTCCTCGCTTCCAAGCCAGCTTTTGGCCAATAAGGAAAAATCTGATATGCATATTTATAGGTCAATGTCTTTCTTCTGCTTATGGCTCCCAAGAGGGAGCCTACAATGTAAACCTAATCCCAAACAATAGAGGAATAAACCAGCATCCCACCACCTTCTTGCAATAACTGTTTTAGGAGTGAGATGACAGAGACTACCAATGGATAAGTTAAAGTAAAAAAAGAAACAGTAATTCATGTTCATCATTGTATACAGTACAAAGCACATCAAAAGAATGCGATTGGCAGCTGTTACAAACTGGTTATTGATTTATCAATGACCATGTGGTCATGGAATTAAACTCTGGTTTCAATGTCTTATTGGGATATTATTAAAATAAATGATTCTAACGTCTGGCTTTTCTTCTTCTGCGCTTTCTAGATTTGTCTTCAGTCACTTCCTCCTCTGAGTCTGTCGGAGTGGGCTCTCGTCTTATAACTTTCTTTTCAATGGTGTACTCCTGTTCTCCAACTTTGGGGTCCCCTTTAACAAGATATTCACCGTTCTGGTAAGTTATAGACACAAATGTCCTGGGATAGGTCCCGTAAACTCTGCGAAGGTCCTCCTTGACAAACTCTGGAAGCTCACGCCTTACACCAAAAACTCGGTCAAGCCTGCCCCACTGAAGCTCTCCTTTCATGGTGAAGCCCTCAGGCCAGGTGTTGGGAGCTGGTTTGGGGTGGACTTGAGTGTTACTGTAATTCATCCAGGGACTGTATGACTGACCTGTGTTGAAAGAGCCATAGGGCCAGCCTGGCATAGAATATAGAGGATTTGAACCATAAAAATGATGATATTCAACATGTCCATTCTGAGAATAGTATGGATCTCCTGACGGGATGGCATAAGGTCGACTGCTGTAGTTGTGCATTTGTATAGGTGGAAATACAAGACCGTTGTGCATGTTGGCATATTGTCCAAAGGCATAAGGCACTGGAGTATTTGGCTGGAGGAACATTATGCTATGGTATTCATGAGGCCTGAAACCATAATGGTACATGTTCTGGTCAGGTGACTTCTTACAGGTTACTCATTAAGGATCCAGAGGTATCCATTTGATTTACAAAGAAAAACTGTTACCTGATAAAAGAAGAAAAACAATTCAAAATTGCATTATATAGTGGCCATGAAAAAGTCTCTTTTTTACTTTTGTAAACCTTAATAAACTTTTATTTGATCCCTTTTGTTCTGCTGAATATTCTATTGAAAGTAGGGATGCACCGATACCGTTTTTCTGGTATCGTGTACGGAGTACCGATATTTTTGTTGTGTACTCGCCGATACCAAATACCGATACCAGAAGTCCCATTAGGGGAACCGGGCGGCGTGTAATGACTCACCTCTCTGCTTCCTGATTAGCCGGGAGGCATGACTCGCCACCAGGCTTGTCGATAAGCCGGCAACTGTCTCCATGCTCCCTCGTCTCCAGGTGACGAAGAAGCTTGGAGCCGGCTTTCTGGCCAATCAGGAAGCCAGGGGGCGGGTAATGACTCACCGCCTGGCTTCCTGATTGGCCAGCTTCCCAACCAATCAGGAAGCCGGACAGTGAGTCATTACACGGCGACCGGCTTCCTGATTGGCTAGGAAGCCTTCTCCATGCTTCCTGCCCCATGCTACCTCATCACCAGGTGAGCAGTAAGCATGGAGCCGGCTTTCTGGCCAGTCAGAAAGCCGGGGGCGGGTAATGACTTGCCATCCGGCTTCCTGATTGGCCAGCTGCCCGACCAATTAGCAAGCTGGGTAGCGAGTCATTCCTGCTACCAAAAGTTCGGGTATCGTGATAGGCATCAGGAGCATTTGGCATTGGCACCGATATTAGTATCAGTACATCCCTAATTGAAAGCATTTTGTTATATCTATTCAATAAATGCAAAACTACCTGTTGATTCTTCTAGAAATCTCTTCAGCTGATTCCCAGCCATCTCTGAGAACTAACTAAACCCCCCTCTATATTATGGAAATGAGGAGAAGGGGATGTGTTCTGTACTTTTGTCCTAGGCTGACAGCACTGCTTCTCTTTAGATACAGTAAGGTGAGTGAGCATTGACGGTATCAAGACAGGAAGTGTGCTACTGGCAGTTACACCAGAGGAGAATAAAAGGAAAAAATAAAAAGACACCACATTTATAGACTGGTGAGCACAGCAGTATACTACATTTTTGCCCTTTGGTTTAAATGCACTTTGATCTATAATTTAACAATACAACACAGAAGTAATTAAAACCAATTTAACTGAATCAAAACATGATTTTAAAGGATAAAGACAGCTTAGCTAGTTTACCTTTAAATGGAACTGAAGTCCCACATCAAAATTTTTTCAGGAGTTGGAGTATTTTTGGCAAATGAGACATGTAAAGTCCCACTTACCAAAAATCTTTGCCCATATCTTAACTATTTTATCTTGTGTGTTGTAACGTTGGGAGCTCACAGAGCACTCACACAGGAATTTTCCATAAACCAATAATAGCCTTTTTTTTCCCTCTTCGGGCAACTCACAGGATGAAAAACACAAATGAAGGCTTAACTTCAGTACATAACATGATAACGTTAAAGTTCACTTATCTTCAGTAAATAGAGTATATTGTCTCACTGTGCCTAACTGATACATTTCCATGCTGATTTCCTAGTTTTGTTTTTTGCCAAAGTTTATGTACTTTATTTTGTACAGTTGATGACAGTCCCACGTCACCTGTTACAATAGCCCCCCTTTCGTCACACCTCCCAACTTTAGGTGATGAGAAAGAGGGACACGTTCTAGTGCAATGTATTTAGGCAATAAACACAACCCTGCTACGCCTCTAGTTGTGTGGACCATTAAGAATGTATATGCCAAGAATGAATGGGTAAACCCAAAATTGTTTACTTTTCCTTTATACTGTTGTGTCAAAAAAGCAAACAAGATAAAAAGAGAGAAGGTAAAAGGGTTTAGTGTAGAATAACACTTTTGAGAAAAATAGAACATTTTCATAGATATCTGTACATCAGACCAAAAAGAGGCACAACTAAGGAGGCAAGAGGAACAGAGTGATTTGGGACAGTCCCTCCAAACATTTGGGAGGTATGCCTTTGGCCAGTGTCTGCCACATTAAGCATACATAGAATACAAACACACATACAACAAGCAATATCAGAAGACAGCAGCAAAATTAAACTATCCCTGCAATAAATAAGCTGAGCAATGTGGATCACGTGATGGCATTGCAATGTACGATCTTACCTGTGTTCAGACTTCCCAGGTACCCTGAGTGCAGTCTGGCATGGCCATTTCAATGCTCTGTAGAGTGCAGCTGCAATAAAGTAATCATTGCTTCTAACTACAAATCCCCTGCAGCACTGACTGCCCCCAATGACCCAGTCTGGGGAAACGTGCAGCACTACACTGATAATCCCATCCAGCTCTGGAGACTCCACCTTCTGATGACAGCAAACGGTAACCATGAATACAAACACAATCAGCAGCAGCTACTCCCTGCTACACCCACAGACACTGCTCAAGTCCAGCATTCACTGGACTTCTATTGTGTGTAGAAGGTGGTGCATGGCCCTATTCTTGTGCATGAGAGGTGCCCAGCATCAGCTTCCATCACTGAAGCTCCGTTCTCACCTATGCATTATGTTACTCAAAGCTAAGTGCGACAACACACTCAAGGATTTCCATTTGCTTGTCTTGAGTGCAACAAAATGATCAAGACAAGGAATTCAATTAATTTCTATGACCCCTGTTCACACTTGAGTGTTCTGTCGCAAACAGAAAAATGCCTGTCGCTGGAAAAAGAACATGAGCTAACTTTTGGAAGATGACAGCACTTTTAGATCCTATAGACTTCAATGGGAAACTTTGTGTGAAAAAAAGGCAGGACAAAACACTCCAGTGTGAACAGGGGCCATAAAATTAATGGGATTCCTTGTCTTGAACATTTTGTCACGCTTACCTATGTGCAACGAAACGCCTACGTATAAACGGGGACTAAGCCCGCATTCACGCCAGAGCGATTTAAAGAGCATTTCCAGAAGCGTTTCCATGCTGAACACTCATATTTCTATTTTATTCTATTGTGTCTGTTCACATCCAAGCAATGTGCTGTCACTCAGCACTCAGCCCCCATTCACCCGGACAGTCCAGGTTTTGAATGCTGTGTCTGGGTTTCATGGCAGCTGAAACCCGGACACAAGATGTCAAGTAGACAGGGGCAACCAAAATTAAGACAGGTGCTGCTGGTCCGCCACTGAAAATAGTCTCGCCTGTGATATTTACATATGAATGGGTGGCGCTATCTACATATGAATAAGTCACGACCCCAAAAAATTTCCATGCGTCGCTAGAGTGTTCGGGTTTAGATGGAAGAAAAGATGGCAACCCTAAGTGTACCATGTGAACATGCACAAAATCGATTTTACACACGATCACAAAACGCCTGTTGTGTTTGCAGTTCTATTTATTGTTAATGGACCCCCAAAGCACAAAAAAAGTGAAGCCTGAGCTTCTTTGCCCTGTTTTTCATGTGGAGGGCAGCCTAGAATGGCGGCAATAGAGCATAATCGGGCACTATTGCCGCCATGTGATGACATTCAAAACTGTGAATGGGGGATCAGTAAAAGGGACAGGGGCTTCTTTGGGCTATCAGTACACTTTTTGGTCCTAATAGTCTTCAGTGGGAGCTAAAGCTGAAAAACACATGTAATGCGCCTAACCACCATCATCTCCTCCTAGTAACTGGTTTTCCATTGGCCGAAATAAAAATGCTCAAGTTTCATAGCTTTGGAAGCTTTAATGGAGATTGTACAGAGATTATACAGTACAATCAGATTGATTAATGTATGGCCAGCTGTAGACATCTAGATCAGCTGAAAATCCCAGGTGGGCTGTGCAGGATATGTGGTGGGCTGTACAGGATATGTGGTGGGCTGTGCAGGATCTGTAGCGGGCTCCGCAGGGTCTCAGGTAGGCTGTGCAGGATCTATGGTGGGCTGTGCGGGGTCTGTGGTGGGCTGTGCAGGGTCTGTGGTTGACTGTGCAGGATCTATGGTGGGTTGTGCAGGGTCTGTGGTGGGGTCTGCAGGGTTTCAGGTAGGCTATGCAGGGTCTATGGTGGGCTGTGGTGGGCAATGCACGGTCTCAGGTGGGCTGTGTGGGGTCTATGATGGGCTCTGTAGGGTCTCAGGCTGACCCTGCAGAACCCACCAGAGATCCTTCACAGCCCACCTGAGAGCCTACACAGCCCACCTGAAACCTTCTCTCCACTAAATTACATGACTCTCTGGCCCTGGACCCCATAGCAGTTGCAAGACCTACTATGGTACTGTACTGTATGGTACTGTGGTGTGTACTGCACCCACTGTCAGTTTAGAGATGCCTAATCTGTTCAGTGATCTATGTTTATTGCATTCTAACACAGCCCCAAATTAAAGTCTATCTAAAGCCCAATTTTCCTTTCTGTTTCATTGGACAGACTTCTCTTTTATTTTTACCCTCTTCCAAAAAAGTGTTGGAATGATCACATTGAAAGTTTTAACATTGGCCAATCTTTTATTATACACCTTGTTTATTGTGCTGTTCTACATTAGTTTGTCAGACAAATAAATATTACAAGGAGCTCCTGAAACGTGAGCTCAGTCTTCTTTAAGTGTTTAAGTGAAAGATGTAGTCATGTCTTCTAAAGGTTGTTTGTAGATCTGTATGTACTACAGATCCTAATTAGTAGCGTAAACCTATACCCTGTCATTGTCTTTGTAAGGCCTTCATACCAAATAACCTTATTCGACCCCAATGATAATGGCTGTTTGAAGTCTTAAAAGTTTGGCAGGTGTTCTAAGAACATTTGACAGCAGATCCCGTGGCACAGAGTACTGCTAGGACTTGTTTCCCTTATAACAGTATTTCCTAACTGCAGTCCTCAAATACTTTGAGCAGGTCATGCTTTCAGGATTTTCTTGAAGCAAAAGTATAGGTCATTTTTAATGAGAACATATTGTATATTAAAGTTATCATAGCAGTATTTCACTTTTAGGTATTTAAGCAGTTTGATATGACTTTTACATTTTTACATGCTTGCTATTATAGGATGCGTTTACACCGTTTTTCGGTATTGAGTAGAGTACTGATACCGAGTACCGAGTAGTTGTGCCATGTGCCCCAATTATTAGGAAGTCGGCGGACCATGATCCGTCGACCGACTTCCTGATTGCCTGTGAAGCCGGTGTTTTAGCGAAAGAACACCGGCTTCACTTGCTGAGGCTGCCTGGCTTCCTGACCAATTAGAAAGCCGAAATACACTTGCAGAGCATTCACTCGCAGAAAATGTCTTTAGTTTGCCAAAGCAACGCACACTGGGATTGCCTTGTCATCAGCAGAGCATTGCTGGAAAATCTCATCTGTAATCTCATGAGGGAAGGCGTTTTCCTCCCCTGAGATGATGTGCATGGTCACATGTCCTAGTCACAAGTGCCAGAAATCCAGAAAGTAATATGAGAGCTAGTAATCTGCCCCTGGTAAACATGGCCACTGCCAAAAGACTGGGGAAGACAAGAGAAATAAGGTATGCAAAGAATACGAAACTGGTAATTATCTATAACTATGTGTTTGTAGATTGTCATTACTAAATATTTCTAAAGGAGAGGGTTGAGCCGATGGGCAGCCAATAGGAAGTATCCATTTCACACAGTCAGTCCTATGGACAATTAAAGAAGAACACTGCCTTCTGTACACAGAAAAAGAAAGAGAGAAGACTCTGGAATGGAACTTCACGTGACCACAGATTTAGGTGATTAAGGGGTATTTAGGTAGGGTTATCTCTCATTTCTATTTAAATCTTTTTATTTGCAAGTTATATACACAAACTGGTTGTTTTAAATACAAACTGATAACATTATTTACATGAAAAGTCTATACATTCCATTTAATTTTACATAGGTGATTCTGCCCACTGGCCTCAGTAATTACAATAATTTTCCACTTGGGGAATTCTTGCAAACATGACCTATCGAAGTTGCAGAAGCAGGGGTCTAGTTTTGTTACGTTGTCCATTGTACTATGAGTAGAGCAGAGAATTTGGCTACCAGTGGCCCTTAGGGAGATGTTGTACATGCAAGTACAGTCCAAAGGCTTTAGAGCAGTAATTAAATAATATGTCAGTTTATGTCAATGCAGAACGGAGGGGAGATCACCAAAGCACATAGATGCTGCTGGTGCTGCTTACTCAAATCAGGATAATAGAATCTGGATTTTCTATGTTAATTGATGTTTCCTCTAAGAGCTGTTTGGCTTAGTGGGCGGCTGCCTGCCACCATCGACATGAGAATAATATATGGTCAAGCTGAAAATTACTGTCATGTCATGTCTGAGGGCTACTGTATTCCTAGCACCTGTGCTGAGGGTACCTGCAGCAGCCCTATGGTGGTGTATACAGGTAGCAAGCAGCTGGAATGTCCCAGTGTAGCACCAGAGTCCAGGTATTGTAACCATGCCTGGGAGCTCCTGGGCGGAGATGCCTGGTGGCAATGTTGAAAGCCTGGTTGCCTTGCAGTCAAACTCCTGGTCTACTATGACTGATTCCTGCTTCCACTGAGTTACAGGTATGTGTAGGCACCTCTAGGAGCTTTTTTTGTAAAGTGATAGAATTACTTTTAAAAGTAAGACCCACGCTGTTTTCCTGCACAGAGGCATTTTTTGGCCCATTTCAATCACTGACTACTAGGGTATGCTGTGTCGGTATAACACCTATTGTTACCAGATCACTTTATTCATATGATAGTATAGTGCTATGAATGTTTGCAATGGCGACTTACTGCTTGGTTTTGCAAATTGTCTGTTCTTGTCTGTTCTGATATAAGTAATACCTTAATCCTAAAGATTAACTGCTTGGATGGTCATATTAATTCCTTTCTTGTTTTACACATGATCTCACAGCTCAGGCATATAATACATACTGGCTAGCTTACCTTCTAAATCTGAGGTGGTTGCGAGAAAATGTGTATGTAATTACACCCAGGGTTGACAAGCCCCCTTTCTGGACATTACTTAATGCAGTGCCTGTTATACTGAAAGATCAATAATATACATTTTAAAAATTAACTTAGGAATCTGGCCAGTTTGTACTGAGCACACTAAATGCTATTGTAGAAGTCACCTTCAGGGACCATCAAACAGTTGGTGGATCCCGAGGTATAGACAGCTAACGTTATATGTGAATCTTATCTTTTCCTGTAAAAGCTAAGTTTTTCTTAAATTCTGCATTTTC